GTGTAACTATGTGAGTGTGGGTTACGTGTGCACGTCCATGTGTGCATGTGAGTTTGTGTGTGACTACGTGGGTGTGGTGTATGCTCTGTGTACACATGCATGTCTGGGTGGGACACCTGGGAACTCCTCTCACCCTCAGGGGGGTTCCCACTGGGGAGCTGGCCCAGGGAGCCCCTCACGACTGCTATGGTCCTTTTCGCAGGAAATCGTCTTCTACAAAGTCATCGACTATATCCTCCATGGCAAGGAAGACATCAAGGTCATCCCGTAAGTGCCAGGGTTTTAGGACAAGCATCACCTGAGGGCAGAGCACCCTTGGACCCATGCTGGGCTGGCACTGGGGATTTATCACAATGGATCAGCAGCCTCTGGCATGGCCCCTCACACGGTGGTGCTCCCTATGCTGTAGGACGAGGCAGAATGGGATGGGGAGGGAGGCACCATGGATGTCCAGAGTGGACTTCCAGAGGCCCAGGTGAGCTATCCAGGTAGCCCTGTCAACAGTAACTGACCTTTGAGTCCCTCAGGGTCTCATCTTAGCTCACCCAGCCACCCAGGCAGGTGGAGCTCCCAGAAGGCACACCCCATAGGGCAGGTAGGAGGGGATGTCCACCCCAGTGGAAGCACAGCTGGGCTAAGGGAAGGGCAGGGCTCCAAACTAGAGAAACTGGGGACAGGTGTTGGCCATTCCTCACCCTATAGCTGAATGGCCATGTGTCCCCAGACCCTATAAGCCTGTCAGGACCCCACCCTGCAGGTTCACCAAGGACTAGGATCCAGATGCTAGGCCTGCAGGACAGGTGACTGACACTGAGCTCCAGGGGCTGGATTGAAGAGTGGGGCCCCCGGTGGGGAGGGGGCTCCTACAGGGTGAGGGACCTCCTCAGCATTGGCCGAGGAAGGATCAGACACACCCAAACCTCACCCCTGGCCTCCTCCTACTCTCCCTGAGTCCACTACCTGCTAGCTTTCCCGCCCCACCCAGAGCTCAGAAAAGGGAATAAACATTAACACACACACTGAGCCAAAATCTACACACGTACATCGAACAACGCATCCACCATCTGACTCTGTGTTCTTTCCCCCAGCACACCCCCAGCGGATCACTGGGCCCTGGCCAGTGGCCTTCCAACCTACGTGGCAGAAAGTGGCTTTGTGAGTCTGCTGAGGCCCTGCCCTCGCCTGGTGCCCCGGCCCTTCCTGCCGGTCTGTGCACCTCTGCCAGCTCCCTGCTGCCCTGCTTCACCTACTTAGAGCTCATCGGGCTGGGTGGTCTTTTTTAGAACCATATCGTACATTGGGCTGCTTCAGGTGAATTTTTCCTGATCCTCTTTCAGATCTGTAACATTATGAATGCCCCCGCCGATGAAATGTTCAAATTTCAGGTATCTATCCATTCATTAACAGAAAGTGTGTTGTACTTAGGGAAGAAGATGTTCTGGTTCAGAAATGGTGGACTGAATTCGTTTTCGCTCCTTGAGAAACAACCTCAAAATCTCAGGGGCTAACAGCAGCAAACACGCACTTCCCGGGCACAGGTCTGTGGCTGGTGGGGCGGGGCCAGGCCACAATGAGCTTTCAGGTCTGCTCCTTGCTCCTCCTCTGGGGACGTGTGACCAAAGCAGGCTCTTTTCTGGAGGAGGCTGAGAGTCCAGTGGGCCAATGGAACTGCCCCGGTCTCTACAGCTCTTCCAGAAACTGGCCACTGTCCACATTTTACTGGCCAGGTGTCAGTGGAATGTGAAACGGGAACAGCTGCATAATCTGTGGGGCCCAGCAGAATGGAATACAATAATTCAACAATTATTAAGAACATTAAGAGCATGGAGGCAAAAAGATTCAATCGAGCGTGGGAGCCTTCTAAGAGAGGAATCCTGTGTGACTGCAGAACTCACACCATAAAGCCACCCTGGTGGGCATATAGGCTCAGCTTCAGCTAGCAGGAGAAGTCACAACACAAACCCGTGGACAGAGAGCTGTCACGCATGCGGGGAGTGAGCAGACAGGAAGAGTGACCCAGTCACCACAGTTGGAGGGCGGGAGAAATGAGATTGGTGCTTGCTGGGTGACAAGCCTGGGCCAGGGCCAGACCCAGAGTACTAGGCATCTCTGGACGCCTCTCCCTGCAGGAAGGGCCTCTGGACGACTCGGGGTGGATCATCAAGAATGTCCTCTCCATGCCCATTGTCAACAAAAAGGAAGAGATTGTGGGGGTTGCAACATTCTACAACAGGAAAGACGGGAAGCCTTTTGATGAGCAGGATGAAGTCCTCATGGAGGTAAACACCTGCCGTAGGTGCGGCTCTTGGAGGAGACACCTGTGTGATGGCATGGGACACAGCTATGTGGAGTCCCTTCCTACCATCTGCTTTAGCACTCGATCCAGCATAGGGGCAAGGGGGAGCTGTGAGGGGCCAGTCCCGGAGACCCCTTAAAAGCACTCAGTGCCCTGGAGCGGCCCTCCACGTGCCAGACACAGGGCCTGGTGCACGGCAGGTCCTGTCAGGGTGGTGACGCTATGGTCTGTCTGCAGTCCCTCACTCAGTTCCTGGGCTGGTCGGTGCTGAACACGGACACCTACGACAAGATGAACAAGCTGGAGAACCGCAAGGACATCGCCCAGGACATGGTTCTGTACCACGTGAGATGTGACAAGGACGAAATCCAGCAGATCCTGGTACCACTCCTGTCATGCCCTGGTCCCCTTCCTGCCCAGTGGGGAGACAGGGTGACCCCGCAGTCAGGGCATATCCTGTGGTCGGAGAGCCGAGCCAATCCTGGAGTTCCACATGCTCTGCACGGCCAGGGGCAGTCCCTCCCCTGTGTCCTCAGCCTCAAGCAGGGTCAGCTGTGAGCAGGGAGTGATCAGAGCCCTCCGGGTCAGGCCCTGTGGGGACGCCACCAGTTGTCCCTGTGGACAGCTTAGAACAGTGTCAGAGAGGCAGGGAGGGACACACAGGAAATGGTAGCCACTATCACTTCTCTCTGAAGCTAGAAGTTCCAGCTGGGGCTTCCAGAGGCAACTGCTGTCTTGTGCTAGACGTCACCCTGTCCCGCACTCACGAGGGCTGTGGGTAACGCCGTCACCCTGTCCCGCACTCACGAGGGCTGTAGCTAACATTCACTCTGTCTCAACACATCTGTTTTCTCTTGTAGCCGACAAGGGAACGCCTGGGGAAGGAGCCTGCTGACTGTGAGGAGGATGAGCTGGGGACAATCTTGGTCAGAATCTGACTCCCACCCCTCAGGTGGAGACTGGAGGGGCCTGAGGGTCGGGGGAGACTTCCTCATTCCTAGGAGACCTGAGCATGTCATCCCCTGATGTTTGCTGCTGTCTGCGTATCCCTATGCCTGGGTCTGTGTGTGTGTGTGTGTGTGTGTGTGTGTGTGTGATCTCTTTATGTGCATGTCTTTGCACCTGTCTCCCTGACAATACCTCTGTTCTCGTGGTGGGGCCATGGGTGGGGGCTGAGCCGCAGGGCATGTGAGTGGCCAGCCGCAGTCCAGAGCCACTGGAAGGGCTGATGTCAACACACTCCTGGGACATCTGAGGCTGGACAAAGGATCCTGGGAAGGGAAGAGAAAAGCCTGCCTCCCTCAGCCCCACAATCCCTCCCACAGAAGGAAGTGTTGCCGGGGCCCAACAAGTTCGACATTTATGAGTTCCACTTCTCCGATCTGGAGTGCACAGAGCTGGAGCTGGTCAAATGCGGCATCCAGATGTACTACGAGCTGGGCGTGGTCCGAAAGTTCCAGATCCCTCAGGAGGTGGGGGTGGGGGCCCGTGGTGAAGGGTCCCAGATCCACTGGGAGGTGGGGGGCTGTGGTGAAGGGTCCCAGATCCACTGGGAGGTGGGGGGCCATGGTGAAGGGTCTCAGATCCATTGAGAGGTGGGGGGCTGTGGTGAAGGGTCCCAGATCCACTGGAAGGTGGGGGGCCGTGGTGAAGGGTCCCAGATCCACTGGGAGGTGGGGGGCTG